ATAAACACAACAAAACCTAAACTCCATCATGGATAATCCGGACTGTCGGTGACTGGGAATTGAGACACGTTCCATCACTCGAAGTACGAAACGTCCCTCGTTTCCCGTGCTCGGGCTAACTCCTATCCCAAGCACAATGCAATATGCATGACATGCATGAATGCAACTAATATACAACCTAGCATGTACAATGCTATGAAATGGCATACACGATGCACGAGGTAACATGGCATACACAATGCTCTAACATACAACCTAGCATACGCAATGCTATGAAATGAAATGGCATACACAATGCACAATGGACTTACACCAATATGAGTGGACCTCATCCACACTCAAATCAGTAGCCATTGGATGAAAATGAGACACTCGAGATACGTGCACACATGCACGCAAACCGAGGACTGAACCCAAGGCATAACATGCAACACTAACAAGGCATGGCAAGGCATGACACATGGTATGCAAATTTCGGTGCTGAAATATGATGCAAAACAGCCCCAAAACATGGAAACATGGCACCCGATGCATGGAATGAACTCGAAACACAAAACTAGGCATATGCATTGGCCTATAGCTATACAAAACATGTATTATTTGATCATGAAGTATGAATACAGAAGCAAGGCAGTCCCAAAACATGCATATTTCCAGTTTTAAGCAAGGCCAAAAAGTGAACACAAATAGGGCTAAGTTAGCATGCAAAAATGGCCCCGTAAGAGAGATAATGAAGCAAGTAGCATCTTCTGGCCCTAAATGGCCAATAACCCTTCAAAAAAGTTGAAGAGGGGCTCAAAATGAATCACTTTACAGTTTACAACAAGCCACGAAAACAAACACAAGTATGGCTAAACTATTGTGCAAGAAATGGGCTAAAAGGGAGACAAAGAAGCAAGTGATGGTTGCTGGCCTCAAACAGAGGAGGGCCCTTTAACAAAAGTTGAAGAGGGGCCCAAAACATGGTATTTTACAGTTAGTGACCAAATCCAAAACAGTGCACATGCAAGCTTAAAATACTATGCAAAATATGGCCTAAAAAGAGGTTTAAACACAAAGAGCAAAAAGGGAGCTTCAAAAAGCAAAAGTCCCTTGATAAAACATGAAGAGAGGGTCAAAATAAGTCTATTTATAGTTTGGAACAGAGCCCAAAAATACAAGCACAATGGGCTAACAAAAAATGCAAAAATAAGGCCAAAAGAGGGATAAAGAGGCAAGTGACAAAAGGAAGCCTCAAACAGTGAAGAGCCCTTCAACAATGTTGAAGAAGGGCTCAAAATAAGATACTTTAAAGTTTATAACCAAGCTCAAAATAGTTTACAAATAGGCCTAAAATACTATGCAAGAAAGAGGCATACAAGAGAGGTAAAGAAGCAAGTGTAAAAAGGAAGCCTTAAACAGGGAGAGGCCCTTAAACAAACATGAAAAGAAGCTCAAAATAATTCTATTTTCAGTTAGGGTCGGAGCCCAAATATGCAAGCAAGAGGAGCTAATATATTGAGCAAAAGTAGGGTCAAAGAGAGGGATAGAAGATTTACCCTTGAAGACCAATGCTTCAACAACTCTTGGACCAAGTTTGGGAGCCCTTGACCTCTGGAAATGGCCTTGAAGCTGCTGGAATGGAGTGTGGATTGGTTGGCTTGGAGATGGAGTAGAATGGATGTAGGATTTGAGAGGTTTTGAGAGTTGGAGTGTAGAGAGAGGGAGATACAATGTAGGAGGCTTAAACCAAACTTTCTCACCTTTCAAAAGGGAGCTGGAGGGCCTGGATATATAGGCAAGAGTGTGTGAAAAAATGGGGGAAATGGATTTCAAATTTCCCTCCAAAAGTGCAACCCCCCGGATACACAATCTAGGGGGAAACAAAATACAGATTTGTAATGTACCAGAAGAGGGGAGCAAGGCCGGCCTGGTATTTAAGTTGCAGGTGGCCGGCCGGCCCTCCCCATGGCCGGTCGGCCAAAGGTCAAAAGGTTCAAGCAGTATTAGTGGCCGGCCACCCCAGATTGGTGGCCTCCCATGTGTGCACAACACAACCATGTAGTCAAAAACTGGAGAAAGTAAACCAGGAGAGAGAAAAGCCCACTTTTTGGAGGGGTTCAAAAGGGTCAAACACAATTACTAAAAAAAATCCTAAAATGAAATTTTTTTAGTCAATAAGCAGGCCTTGCCTCTCGACAGAGTGTTATTTGATATAAACTTCAATACTTAAAAACAAAAATATATAATTTGAATAAGTGGTAATCAACTTACAGACTCGGGAAATGAACCAAATTTTCCCAGAAGTGAAGAGATAGATCCACCAGGGACAATTTCCAACAAAATATTCAACGATGCGTCCTCTCTAGTTGTTCCCAAGTATCTCTTCAAGAAAAAGAAAAGACGAGTAAAGTTAGAAAACCAACCAAAAATATAAAAATAGACAGACAAGACAATAAAAATGAACAACTATTGCTTCAGGAAGAATGCAAATCAAATACTTACAACAATGTTTGGATGTGAAAGATTCTCAAGAAGGTTCACTTCTTCTTCAAGCTCTCTAATGTGGGCCTAACAAAAATTAAAAAAGGTCAAATTCAAATAACATACTCTTGCCAATCAACTAAAGCAAAAATCTTTAAACATTAAAATAGAAAACTACCAATTTAGGAGTGTTTTGGGAAGATGGTAAAAAGTTGGCTTTTGGTTTTTTACTAAGTATTTGGCTTTTTTAGAAAGTGATTTGAGAAGTTCGTAAAAAACTGCTTTTGACTTTTTCGGTTAATATTTGTTTATAATGTCACATCACAATCAAATGACCAAAATATCCCTACCCAATTTAGTAAATTTACATTTTCACCCATGTACAACCCTAGACAACATGAAGGGTATAATGGTAATTTCACATGCAACTTTTTTGGACTTCCCAAATGACTATTGTTAAAAAAGCCAATCTAGCCTTTTACCCCCAAGCTGCAAAAACGTAGCTTTTAATCTTGGTTCTCAAATGGGCACTTAGTACCACAAACGCAATCTATACTATATATATAAGCAAATGCAGTGTTATCTCAAAAAATTTCAAAAATTCATTCCTAAATTCTCATAATTTTAAAAAGAAAAAAAAAATACATGGAACCCCCCTCTAGCTCCCTTTTCACTTTTCAAATCTTCTCACTCCCTCTCCCTATATAAAAAAATAAAAGTAAAATAATAAAAAAAAATCACATAATATCTTTATTTCCCACAATTCAAATAAAAGAATAGAAATCCAATACAGTTATCCTCATCTCTCTTCTACAAAAATCTAAAAAAAAATAAAAACACAAAAAAACCAAGAGATAAAAAGAAGCAAATTAAAAATAAAATTAAAAAAAAGAGAGATAAAAATCCTACATAGTTATCCTTATTTCTTTTCTATAAAAAATCTAAAAAAACTTCTCTTATGTTCGTGTTCCAGTCTCCATAAATAGTTGTACTATTCTCACCAAAATGAAATTAAAGATGATGAAGGAAAAAAAAACACTCACAACTCTTGATTACATGCTCTCTTCTTTGTTACAACAACATGACTACTTCTCTACATCTTTCTAAATAAACACTCGCTCAAAACTTGTTTATCTACAATTTACCTATAAAGACATGGGTATATCACTACAATTCTAAAGGTTTTATTTTCATTTGCTTTTTTTTTTCTCGGACATTTTTCAATTGTGTGCTTCATATTTTTATTTTTATTTTTAATATTGAATCACTTCTTAAAAATTATTCAATCATTTCTCCATTTTCATAGTGTTTTTCCTTTTCAAATATTTTGGACAAACAAAAAAGTAATGGCACTGTTGTGACTGAGAGTGGTGAATATCTTTTTGTAATCATCATCATAAGAAGCTAAAGTTGAGGGTATGGCACTATGGTGACTGAGAGTAATGAATATCTTTTTATAATCATCATCATAAGAAGCTAAAGTTAAGGGTAAAAAGAAGAAGGAGATGAAAAAACTAGGAGGACTTGAATTAATGTGCAAAATTGAATACAAACTTAATAATATTAAAAAAATAATATTTTATTTGTGTTTATCTTTAAATTTAAACATTTATTTGCTGGTTGTTAAACAAGTTGTGAGTTTTGTTCAATTATATGTATGCATTGGACTCTCCTAAAATCAATAAATTTTTGTTTATTTTTTTAAAAATTTAATCGATGAGTTTTGGAAGCATCAAAAATTCAAATTAATTTGTTAATTTTCTTAATTTGTAATTAATTAAAAAATCTATTATTTAGTTCATTTGCTCCTTTATCTATATGCCACGAATAATTTAAAAAATACATCTATTGGTTTGAAGTCACATTACACACTAAAAATAGATCAAATACCGGATTTATACTCTTACTAGAAATAAACTTGGGCTTTTTTAAGTAATTCAAAAAATCTAATTGAATTATTTGTTACAATTTAATCATGACTTTTGGCCAAAATTTAAAATAATATTAAAATTATTAGCTTAAAAATATCTATTAACTACTTTACAATCCTATCTTGTTAGAAATTCCTTTAAAAATTAAAAATTACCAAACAACTTCATATCTCCATCAAAATATTTTGATTCTTTAGAATTCATATTATACTCATTGATGTTGATTATGCACAAATGAGTATTCTATATCCACCCAAATTGCTTGGAGCCAAAGAAACTATTCGAATAAAATCAGTTTGACTATTGAATTTTAGATTTGTACAAAAACAATTATCATAGAATTTCGAATTTATATATATAAAAAAATTAAATAGATTTGTGCATGAAATAAAAGCCTGTTTCGTTCACTTTTCCATTCTTTTTTTTATTATTATTATTTTTATTTTTACAAATTCTATCCAAACACAATTTCAGAGTTTCTTGAGTGATTGTACAAAGAAAATACATGTTGGTTCATAATGTAAAATAAAATAAAATAAAAAAATCATGGGAGAAAATTGTCTAGTTGTATAAATATTATAAAATTAACAAACACATTGTATTAAACCATTTATACATTGAATTCGTATATTTTTCATAACTTCTTCTTCTTTTTTTCCTTTTTTTTTTTCTTGGTAAAACAGTGAACTAATAGAATAAAGTAGTCAAGGTTCTGGGGTATAAAACCCCTCTAGCATCATCATTCATCTGATTTAAAACAAAAGAAGGAGCAGAAATAAAGACATGAAATCTACTTAACTAACAAATAAAATTTTAATTTATGAAATACAAAACCCGTGTTTTCTCTTTTGCAGCACTGTTGCCTGCAATTGAAACCTGCATTGCATAGATATTAAAAAATTAGAAAGTAACAAAATCAAAACCAAACAAATTTCAAAAAAATAAAAATTAAAAATTAACCTGCTTGATGGCTAGAAGAGCTCCAGAATTGATATTGAGTCCCATATAAACCCTTCCAAATGCGCCGCAACCGATCAATTCATCTTTCCTCCACCGGATCGTTGGGACGTCATCTTTCTTGACTTTGATCGCAGTAGACTTGGCAATCGGTGCGTCGTCTTTCTTGACTTTGATCGCATCAGACTTGGCAATCGGTGGAAGTGCAGGGGCAAGAGGCTTCGAGAAGAGTCCGATTCTCGATTTGCGAATGATGGAGCCAATCTTCTCAACAAAATTTATGACCAAATAAATTTTTCACACTCAAATCATAATTCTAAAATTCACAAACTCAAAATACAACTCTATTCTCAAATCATATTTAGAAAACTCTATCAGACACTATTGTAATTTTTCAATTTCATCAAACTGAATCTAGGCGGTTAAAATTTTTTAATTTTTTTTTTCAAAAAAATTACTAAAAATAAAAATAAACTAAAAACAATCACCAAATAAACAAAGGAAAAATATCATTTAAGTGGGATGTAGATAAATAATAACATATTAATGAAAAAATTTATAATATTAAAAAATAATTTTATAAATTTTTTCATGAAATTGTAATAATTTTTACATGTTACCTCTAACATGTTATTTCCCTATAAACAAATCACAAACACTATAAAGGTTAAGTAGTTAGTCTAATAGGTGTCGTTTAAAGCCTAAGATGTACTTTTAAGTCTCGAATTTTACTTCTATTAAGTGTTAATAATTTCTTAAGACCAAACTCATAAATTTTGCTCCATACTTATCCGATCTATACCAAAAAAAAAGTCAAAATACTCATAAATTAACTCCGACACTCAACCATAAAAAAATTCCAAACACTGTAAGCAATGCCTAACCACAAAAAAAAATAATAATAATAAATAATAATAATAATAATAATGTGAGAAATTATTGTCACGGTCACTCTTATGCCATCAATAATTATGTAATTCCAACAATTATGGACCCTGGTGAACGGGTACATCAGGGGGGTCACTCCACTTTCAATTTGCTTGCGTGTCCCTCGGATTTTGGCAGTTAGTGAAGTGATTCACGTGTAAGAAACAAACCAAACCACCAAAACTTTGACAAAGGTCTATTTTGATAAATGAGTTAAAAATTATATTATTTCTTTATTTTTTATATATTCTTTTAAAAAAATTTAAAAAATCAAAATATTGACTTTTAACTTACTTCTTAAAATAGGTCAAAATTATTTTAATGCTACATTTTTATATCCTATGACTTGGCACAATATTTGTTGGATATTTGTTATTTGAAGGACAAATTACAAATATACTCTTTTAAATTTGTTTAAAATATAATTATTTTTTGTAATTTTAAAAGTTATATTTTGCCTCTTGAAATTTATAATTTCATATCAAATGAAATGACTTTTTTTATTAATAAATTATCTAGCAATGCTACATTCACAAAATTTTGACTTGCTTGAATTTGTGCATGCCAGTCATTTGGCTAGTCATCCGACCGGTCGTCTAGCTAGTCATCCGATAATAAGGGTGACAGTCACGGTTGACAAGGATTGCACCAATCGTCTGGATAGTCGATCGGCATGCACAAATTTAGGTGATTCGAGTAAACTCAAATTCAGTAAATGAATCATTTTTCTAAATTATTAAATTAATTAATAATTTTTAATAATACCATAAATATATTTTAATTAATAACTCAGCACTTTGCAACATCAAACCACAAATCACAAATTTTTGCAATATTACTTAGGCTTCGTTTGGGAAGAAGGGTTTGGGCTGGGTTTGGGGCTATTTTAACCAAAAAAACGCATTAGGTTTTTTAGCCCAATAAAACAAAACATCACATTCAATCCATAATCATTACATTTTTTCTCTCAAAAAAAGTCAAAAAAGTCAAAAAGTCCTTTCAAACGAGAATTTTTAGCCTCAGACTAAAATAGCCAAAAAGCCAACCCACTTCCCAAATGAATCCTTACAAAATTTTGAATATTTTATTATGTTAATTTGTGGTGCACCAGAAGATTTTTTGTATAATTATTTTCAATTTTCCACTTAGTTGCAATTCTTCGATGTTCATATCACCTTCTTTTTTTCATTTCACTTGGGAACAAAGAACAATATAGATAAGGATTAAGTCTAGGACCAGACGTTAGGAGTGTAAAAATGACCCGCGATTCGTGAATGGCCCGAAGCCCGTCTGCGGCTTGGGTTGGGCCCGACCTGTTTAGGCCTAAGCCCAACCCGAGCCCCTGGGTTTGGGCCATCATTTTGAAGCCTGGCCCTGCCCATCGGCCCGCTTATGGCCCATTAAAGGCTCGGCTCGCCCGAGGCCTAGTGTCTTTTTTAGTGGAAAATAACAAAATTTTAATAGAAAAAATTTAAAAAAAAAAAAATGGTCAGGCTTGCCTAAGCCCGAGGCCAGGCCTAGACCCATCAGGCTAGCCCAAGGCCCGACCCACTGACCCGTCCGAGGCCCAAATACCACTAGGCTTAGGACTAGGCCTAGGCCCCCAACTCGAATTTTGGTGGGAGCCTACGAGCTCCGACATGGGCCGGGCCAAATCAGATTTACACCTCTACCAAACGTCCATTTTCATAGTTGTGTCAATAATGGAGGTGTCGTGGAAATTGACACCATGTATTATAAAGTCTATGTTTAAAATGAATTTAAATTATATATTAATGTTTTGGGATGTTTTGTGAGTAAAATTTATGAGTTTGTAGTATTAAAATAATTTTAATCATACTCTACATTTTTTCACTAGTTACATATAAAAAGTATATTATTTGTTTATGTATTCCAACGTTGCTCTTTATTTTACTTATATATACACACAAATCACTTTAAACGGTCTTTCAAAACTCTTTAAATGTAACTAACTTTATAAAATTTTACTGAAATAGCTATTATAATAAGTAGGTCATTGGAGTGACTAACAAGCCCAATTTAAAGAGTCCTTAGGCCTGTTTGTTTTGGACAATAGAGGAGGGGATTGGACAAGAATAGACATGGGTGGGGTTTGTTTACAAAATAAGGAAGGAGATTTATAGTCCGTTGCTAGACTTTGGATGGAAGGATTAACAGAGGCCTCTAAGGATTGGCTTTCAAAACTAGTGAGAGGATTAGGTTTTTTTTTTTTTTTTTTTGATATTTGAACTAGGAAATGGCAAAAACAGCTACAACGGGAAATCAAAAACAAGAAGAGCCTTAAACTTAGCAGGTGGGTTGCCAACCCAATCAAGAGGGAGTGAACCCTTCAGACTACAAGAAGCTAACCAATGTACCACTCTGTTAGCAGTCCTTGGAATCCAGCGAAAGTCTAGCCCATGTCTTGAGCGAGAAGCATGAATGTCATGGAAAATTGCCACACTCTCCCAAGGTGGAACAAGTTCAGTTGCACTTAGCTCAATCACAGACTTGTTGTCGCTCTCTACCTGAAGATTAACAAGGCCAAGAGAGGATGCCAGCAAACAAGCCAGGCGGACTGCTCGAGCTTCACTTTGAGAGACAGAAGAAGATGGAATAGTAGAGGTAGAATCAGCAATCAATCTACCTTTCCAGTCCTGCAAGACCACCGTGATAGAGGAGCTGGAACCATCCTTAGAGAAACTAGCATCACAGTTAAACTTGATCTGATCTTGCAACAGAGGGATCCAGGTGGAGAGAATAAGGTTAGCAATAGAAGCAGCTTGTGAGGATTAGGTTAAAAAAGATTATTTTGCCCATGTCGTGTATTGTGTATTTGTGTATTTTTTATCTATTTATTTTTTTTGTGTGTGTGGGTATTATGTCATTATATATATATATATATATTGAAATAATATAGTTTAAAAATATTTATAAAATATAATTTTTTTAATATTAAAATATATCAAAAACACCAAAGGATATTTATGATATTTCATCTAGTTAATTCTCTCACTAAAATATAATTTTTCATCATTTATGTATAAAGTAATATGATGATTTGACATTTATTTTGATTTTTTAAAACTTTCAAACATCAACTTTCAAATTGAAAAAACTAAAAAAAAAAATTTATGTGCAAATTTTTTTTTTTTTTTTGCAAAAAATTGAAAAAATTGAATTATTTTTTGTGCAAAATTGAAAATTTTGTGTCTATGAAGGAGTTTGATGATGGAACATTGATGTGCAAAATTGGAAAAAAAAAAATTAAATGAAAAAACTTATAATGTTCTCATTTTTAATACTGGAAAAAACTGATAATGTTCTCAATTTTATTTGATAGTTGAATCAAACCAATAAATAGAAGGACAAAAACGTTTAATCTCATGCTTTGTTTTTTTTTTTTTGTCAGTTAGTAAAATAATTATCTGAAACATTACTATGCAAAATTGACAATATTCTTAATTTTAAAAATTAGGAAAAACTGATAATATTTTCAGTTGTACTACATAGAAATTATTGGTTCAAAAAACCGTAGATACGACCTGAACTACCATAATATTTGTAAACAGGACTTTTAAGTAGTTAACTCTTTTATTTTTTATTTTTCATTTTTTTAGTTAATTTTTATTTCACTCTTTTAAGCAAATTTTTATTTTTATTTTTTAGATACACTTAATATAAATACAATAAAAAAGTACAACATTTATAAAAAAAAATTAAAATTCACTAAATACTAAAAACATAAAAATTCAAAAAAAAAATAATACATTTTATATTCTTGTGTATTTATTAATTTTTTTAAATATTTGTTTTCAAATATTTTAATTTTTAAGCACATCTAGATGATGTGCATCTAAAAAAAATTTAAAAAAAAATTATCAAAAAAAAAATAATACATTTTATATTCTTGTGTATTTATTAATTTTTTTAAATATTTGTTTTCAAATATTTTAATTTTTAAGCACATCTAGATGATGTGCATCTAAAAAAAATTTAAAAAAAATTATTAAAATATTAAAAAAAATTCACTAAATATGAAAAAAGTATATGAAAAAATAAAAAACTTAAATATCAGAAAATTGAATTCTAAAAATTAGAACCAAACCTAGATGAATCTGAAAAATATTAGTAATATTTTTTTTTAAATTCATCTTGTGTAGACGAATTTAAAAAAGTATAAAATTTTGAAATTTCCTAAAAAAATAAAAAAGCAAAAATAAATATAAAAAATTAACTATTTTTTGATTTTTTTTTTTCCCTTCTTTTATGGACTTTTTAAAAAAAATTAATAAAAAAATTAATTTTTCGATTTGTTTGGTTAAACTGAATCTAGACCATTAAAACTTTTGTAATTTTTTTAAAAATTACTCAAAATAAAAATAAACTAAAAAAAATTACCAAATGAACAAAGGAAAAATATCATTTCAATGAGACGTAGAAAAATTATAGCATATTAATGAAAAACTTTATAATATTAAAAGATAATTTTATAATTTTTTTTTATGAAATTGTAATAATTTTTACATGTTGCCTCCGACGTGTTATTTCCCCATAAACAAATCACAAACACCATAAACCCAAGTGATTAGTCTAGTGGGTGCAATTTAGAGCTTGGGGTATATTTTTAGGTCTCAGATTTAACTCCCATTAAGTTTGTTAGGTTTTTTTTCTTGGCAACCCTGTTTGACAAAACTCCTTTAAGTTGTATTTGTTTTCGCACTTTTTATTTCAGTGAGGCTATGAGTGTTTAGATGCGAATCCAATCCGAATTGTGCCTTGCAGAGAAATTTGTGATGTTAATACTTTCAAGATTGCCACTTCGTTGATTATGACAGGGATCGAGCTACCTGGTCAGCTCGCGGGGTCGAAGGAGCAGCGCCCCTTGGTGGGTCCAGGGCAGCGCCACGGTGGGGTCAAGGGGCAGCGCTCCCAAAGTAAAATGCAAAAATGCATTCCAAGTTGCCTGTCCGCTCGAGCGGACATTCCCCCGCTCGAGCGGAGAATGCTGGGTTTCAGAAGTTTGTTCGCCTGCAAAAATACTGGATGCTGTTTTTTCCCGCTCAAGCGAAACTTTCCGCGCTTGAGCGTAAGTCCGCTTGAGCAGCCATTTTGACGCTCGAGCGGAGATCGTGGGACAATTTTCTATAAATACGTGTTTCAGCCCAAATTTAGGAGTACTTCTCCAGATCTTCTTTTTGGGTTCTAAGGTTTATATCTGGTGATATTTTGCTAGTTTTCTTTGATGTTTTCATTGAGTATTCAACTCATGGTTTAAGAAGCATACATCAAACGTTTGTTTGTTTATTCTACACAAAAGAGAGAGTTGTTCTTCGGTGGATTTTGAAGAATTCGAGCCTGAAGCTTTGGTGGATTCTGGAGTGGCTCATCGTCAAGATAATTCCGAGGTGAAAACGGGGTTGGAAGAGACACATGGAGGTTGGTTCAATTCGGGCGTGGATTCGCTAGGTAATTGAGAGTATACCTGTGTAATTCCTTTATATCTTCTTAGTGAATTGTTCTGTGGCTATTGCCCGTGATTTTTTTATCACAATTGATTGTGGATTTCCACGTAAAATTATTGTGTCGATTTGTCTTGATTGTTTGATTGGGATTGTTATATACTACTTAAAATTGATACATAATCACAAATCAACATTTAGGAGATTTCTAGATTTTTCAAAGTTTTATTAATTTCTTGATCCCACACCCGTTAATTCTACTCGATATTTATCCAATCCACATGAAGAAAATATTTTATGTAAATCCTAAAATTAGTGAAAGTACTCGTAAACTGACTCTAACACTCAACCACAAAAAAAATCCCAAACACCATAAGCACTGCCTAACCACAAAAAAATGTGAGAAATTATTGTTACGGTCACTCTTATGTCATCAATAATTATGTAATTCCAACAATTATGGACCCTGGTAAGGAAAGGGACCATCAGGGGTAGGAATGTAAATTTGGTCCAGTTCGGCCTAGCTCATGTCAAGCCTCGCGAGTTTCTATCAAAATTTGGGCCTGGTTGGGCCGATCCATGGGTCAAAAAATTAGGCCCAGGCCCAGAGGTTATTTGAGCCTTAGGCTGGGGCTGGGCTTGGGTGGTGTCACGATCCAAACCCGCGCCCCATAGGTTTAACATCGTAACTGGCCAGTAATCCTGGGATTACCGAAGGCCTCAGAGACATATTAACATAATATTAGGGGTTAGCGAAAGCAAATAACAATATACAACATCCATTGAGCTATGCAGACTTATATGAGACAGAAAAATTTGAAACTTTTTATAGTCATATTTACACATCATTCTTACGTTTTCATATATATTTACAGATTAGACAAAAAGGGACTTAACCCTATTTACAAAATAAACAAAGACTTGTTTAACCAAACAAGAAACAAAACTTGAACTTAATGTACTTAGCCATAACCACTAGACATATCTAGAACCTCCACGGGAGGCACATAGGCTGGCTGACAAAACAGAATCCAGGCAGAAGCTCTAGGCCTGGTCACGCGTCTGATCACCTACTTACGTAAATAATACAGTGAGTTGGAGCCTAGTGAATAATAACATAGTAAAGGGTTTTAATGAATGATGTCCATCACAGAGTCATAAATCAAAGTTTATATCAGAAACAGATTCTTATCAAAAACATAGTCTTATGCATATTTAGATTTCAAATTAGAAACAGATTCATATACATGTTCATATTCATTTTCAAAATTCATATATTTCACATCATAGTACGTGGCATATCCATTAGTGCTAACAAATCCAATGACTTATAAAGGGACGGCCTTAAAGGCATTCCAATGACTCGTGTACACAGAGACGTTTTCCATGACCCATAAAGGAACGGCCATAAAGGCATTCTGATGACCCATAAAGAGACGGCTATAAAGGCATTCTGATGACTCATAAAGGGACGGCCATAAAGGCATTCTGATGACCCATAAAGGGACTGCCATAAAGGCATTCTGATGACCCATAAAGGGACGGCTATAAAGGCATTTTGATGACCCATAAAGAGACGGTCATAAAGACATTCTGATGACCCATAAAGAGACGCATATCATATGATGCCAAGGATGCCATGAATGCATTTCAAAATCTTGGATAATCATTCATTCATTTCAAACATAGCGTAGCATTTCAGAAACCAATGATTTCATAATTTCAAACAGAGCGTAGCATTTCAGAAACTAATCATTTCATATCATAATGTTCAGAAAATATTTAACATTGAACATAATTTTACAAAGTCATTACTCACAGTGTTCTGGTGCTTGATTCGTCCCTGCGCTTAACCATACATAAGTCATAACACATTGGGTCATATCACAATTCATTCCATTATTTAGCTTGTTTAACATTCTTAGGCTCATTTCATGTTCTTTAATTCATTTACAATGTTTAATGCATGCCTAAGAGCGCTTTGAAATGAAAGAGAACGGAAAACGAAGCATTAAACATTTTTTCAAAATTTCTAAAATAGGACCCACCGCTTGAGCGTAACTTCGGTCGCTCGAGCGAACCCTTTGTTCTGTAAAAGTACTAGTTGCTTGCAAATTACGCTCAAGCGAGACTTTTGATGCTCGAGCGAGGAATCTAGTAAAACAGGGTACGCTCGAGCGGAACTCTCCACGCTCGAGCGAACAGGTCGAATTCTGAGTTTTTCTAGATT